CCAAGTTGAAATAAGTAAAACTGTTATAAATATTTATTATTATTATTATTATTATTATTATTATTATTATCAAACTAGAATCATAAGCTCAGAATTGAACGTTGAATGGTTCGTATACCTGGCGACTGATCACCAAGCAGTATCCAGTTCAATTACTTTAAATGTTTGAAAAGTAATGCATCCAATACCTCACAGAAAACAAATTCTAGTTGAGTTGGAAGAGACCATAACGTTTAAATTGGAAGCCGAATCCATAAACGACTGGTTTGAAGGACAGATATAACGCATTATTAAAAAATTTCCAACTTAGGTTTCTTTTAAACAATTCCTATATATTACGAAAGTCACTACAACATAAAAATGTTATTTATTCGGTATACCCTGAATTTAGACGTCTTATTCTGTACCTTATCAAATTAATTAAGTATTTAGAAAGACTAGATACATCACTTTATTTTTGGAATTGTTCTCTTTTTAAAAAAAAAGAAATCTAAGGCGTGGAAAAGTTCAGATAATGAGTTTTTCCTGATAGGGATGGGGTTGCTAACTGTACACCAAAACCTCCTTTACCGAAGCTTAAGATCGGCGTCAACCTTCAAAGGCCACCAAATAAAGTTTATGGATAAGTTAAGCACTTGAATTTTAAAAAAAACTACTTCGGTAATATTAGAAATACACTAGGAGAAATTTTGATAGGATCTGATGTTATGAATAAGAAAAATTGCAAAATATGATAGAAAACATAATTCAAAGGTGAAAATTTAAAAGTTTGAAGTTGAATGTATAGAAGCCATCATAAATGATAAAAAACATGACCGACAAAATTTAAATAGTAATAGGTATGAGACAAACATAGTATTGATTACTCATCAGTGACACTAGGTATTGAGGATTGGAACCCAATGAAGAGTGGAGTTAGTTCCATTAAAATTCCCCGGTACATTTTACCAATCTTCTCGACGTTATATATATATATATATATATATATATATATATATACAACAAACCTTCAAATCTTGAACAGAGCCCGGATGAACAAGAGAGCATAACAAACGTGGATCATCAACAGTATCACCGAGCACACCAGCAGTAGTACAATCTTCCTTCTCTGATATTGGTTTAGCTGTTTCATTATGATTATTAACAGAAGGATCACTGCTATACTGCCATAAACAAACACGATTCACCTAAACGTAATACAAAGTGAACATAATGATAAATGATATAAATAATGATTAATTAAATGTTCAGTTTTATTTTCGAAAAATAGGCAAAAAACAAATCAAAAGTAAAGACAAAAATGTTGAAGCATAAATTAATTTTAAATGGAAACACATGGTAAATTACTGACAATGTAAAACAGTAAAACGAATAAAATGAACTACTGTAGTGCGTGCTATTTATATGGACAGATATAAATAGTACATGTCAAGAATTGAAAGTAGGATTTATATTAACAGAAGAACATGAAGAAAAAATGAAAATCAGAAGTAGCACGAGTAGCAACAGGAATGGTAGAACGATGAAATTTGTAAAAGACAATTCAAGAAAGATGTGAAAATGGTGTATATGATTTTGCTTAATACAATATAATTGGTTAACACTAACCAAGTCTTCGTTTATTACAATGCTTGATTCTTTAAAGGATTCTATTCATATAATATTCTGTGTATGATCGATTGATTCATTAATAACTCCGCCTGAAGTCCCTCCGGGGGCTACTGCCGGTCCCGAGCCCGGATAAAGGAGGAGGGTTGGGCATGGGGTTAGCGCCCCCATCCCGTAGAAAACTAACTCGCTAAAAAAACGCTAACCAGAAAAAATTATTCATTAATAATAACTGAACAATAATTGTATTTTTTGTTAACATGTAAAATCGATTGGATGAGAGTTTAGTTCTAAATAAAATTTACTTAAAAGCCGTTAGAAAATAGATAGCACGGAAAAAGTGTCCTATCTTACTACTGATGAACATATCCGATGTTTATTGTCAATTTAGAGGTAAAAATCAGTGTCACAATATTTACAATTCTGAATTTATAGTAAACTTGGGTATCTGTTAAAATTTACGCATATAAGGTGCATTAAGTTTTTTAACCTAATAAAATATCTTACTTCACATAGATTGGTCTCTGATCAATAATCACTAATATTGTGTTTGCCTGTTTCTTAGTGGTAACCTAATTCCATATATATCGACTATGTGGTAACATTTCAAGCTATGAAGCTGGGTGATACGGGTTCAAATCCACCAAGAAGTATCATTCTCCTCAAATTTACAAGTACGCCTTGTTGATGAGTGCAAGATAGAACAAAAAATAGCTCAAGGGTTTCCCGTCGACTACCTCCAACCACCTAACATCTCAACATAGTGTACGATAGTAGAATAGTAGTCATAATTCAGTTTGATCGATAGAATTCGATCAATACTAAAGGGGAAAACAAACATGAAATTCGTTTCAACTCAGTGATCAATCAAATATAAATATCTCACTCCTACCTACAGGAGATCAGTTGCGGCCAAATAGTCCGTGGTAATATTTCTGAATACGTGGCAGTGGATTTGAATCCTACGTGGATCATCAATACCATAGACACTTACATCTAGAGATACCTTACAATTTTATTCGACCAAATAATAACAAATCCCTTATTTTATTATGATATATCAAGAAACAAATCTAATAAATTGAATACAATATAAAAATAAGGAATTTTATTACCTCTTCCAACCAACTACCAGTAACAATTAATTCTTGGTATTGTGTCTCTGGTTTGCTGACAAATCGAACACGAGATAACTTAAATGAAATACACTTAACACTCGAACGATTAGAACATTGGACCATTTTGAATTTGTCACTATTATTCAGGAATAATTTTAGAGCTTACTAATACAATAGCCAGTATTAGTTGAACTTTCTAAAATAATAAGGTAACAAACAGAACAGATATTGAAGTTGAAATACATAACGAATTAATAGGTTTGCACAATAATAAAGTTTAATTTCATACGGTGAAAAACGAGAAAAATTGATTAATAAACTTTGAATATCAATGACGCATCTTATAACTGATAAGCGTCAGCAATCAAGATCCCGACATCTCAATCATCTAAATGTAACCAGAAATTTGTCAAAAAAACAATGAATAAAATAAATCCCGATCATTTGGCTTACTGGTTACTCAATTGTAGTTCTTTAGTAGTAAGTAGGGGTTAAGTTAGCACTTGAAGTTAAAATAAGAAATCAGCTTTAAAAGTAAATTACTAAGTATCGAATACTTTTATTAAATTGGTTGTTTGAATCTTCCTGTTGATGTTAAGAATTACTATTGATCAGTTTCTATTTAGTCTATGTGCACCATAGACGAATTGCCTCGATTTCTCCATTAAGTAACCAATACAAATGAATTCAACTTCATCTCATGCCATAAGTCAGTGACTATCTACACTCCGTAGGTAAGCCGAAAACGTGATAGCGTTTGGGGTGGACTGTACTGGATTCGAGTTCCAAAGTGAACATCAACTCTGAGATGCAAGTAAATCCAGTGAACGAAACCTAAATAGGAGGAGATGTGTGCTCGGAATTCCACTGAGAGTCATTATCCATTTTTGCTTATAATCTATAAGTTATCATCTCCAAAGAGAACAAGTTTATTGGATTGAATCCTTATATTGAACTTATAGACATTATGATAAAACAATATACAGATATACAAATACAATATTTAGGTTTGCATGATTAAATCTCTAATAAATGCTAATAGGAATATGCATAATGATGATAGAACAAAGTAGTTATAAAATTATTGCTTTAATTTCAACAGTTGAGATCATGAGTCAATTGAAACTAGGACACCATGGAAAACCTGGAAGCACTGGACGGCCGTTTCGTCCTATTGTGGGACTCCTCAGCAGTGCGCATCCACGATCCCGCACCCCACGGGATTCGAACCCAGGACCTACTGGTCTCGCGCGCGAGCACTTAACCACTAGACCACTGAGCCGGCCGGCATCCAACGGTGTTAATGTCTATCTTCAACCAATCCACGAAATTCGGCGACACATCCACCATTGTCATCAGTGAGTTACTATCTCAGAGCAGATCCGGTTGAACTCCACTGGTCACTGCTTCTCACTAGAACTCCAGGATATACCTCTTGAAGCCAGTCACTAGTGAGTATATGTTGATTAGTATCAGAAGGGGTTTTGTGGAGATTGTAGTAGTTTCAACAGTTGAGATCATGAGTCAATTGAAGCTAGACCACCATGGACTTATGATCTCAACTGTTGAAATTACTACAATCTCCACAAAACCCCTTCTGATATTATTGCTTTAGGTGAAAATCGCTTTTTCCTTGTCGATAATTAATAAAAAACAATTGAAAGTTTAGCAAAACTGTAGGTCATGAAGAGGTTGGGGATAGACGTATAGATAGCAGTATATAATATAATAAATTACTGACTATCTCAATATCACACAAATTGCTAGTTAGTAAGTAACATTAGTCACTGCAAACCAGATTTATCAATGGTGTATTTCTGATCACTAAAGCAAATGTGATGGAATATTTTGTCCTTAAAATAGAGAGAATACCATGAAATATTGATTTCCAGCAATTATTTACAGTACTTTATTTACATTTACACATCCATATACTCAGCTTTGATCTATACTTTAGCTGTAAAGGTTCTTGATACTAATCAGCTAGCCAGACAGAAATAGGTGTGGTGGAGCTTGAACAATCAACAACTAACAGTTCAAAATTGAATGACTTGGTCAACAAAGGTACTACACTTCACTTTTCAACAATACTGTTGTGAAATTTGTAAGTGATGGATATTTTATCTTATATATTTAACATATGAAATTGTAATTTTTTCAACATTCAACGCACAAAAAAGATGATCAAAGTACATATGTATAATGATTCCAATGCTCATGATGTAATTACAACAAACAAAAAAAAACTTTTAAAATGAACCGAGAAAAAAGATAGAAAAGAATCATAACTTTATTCAATATATGGATTTTTATAAAACGATATCTAACATCTTTACAATGTTATCATTTAGAAAAAATAGCCAAATTAATTAATGTACACGTGGAGAACATTGAAAATCTACAATAAACGATAATTGTGTGTGTTCTCTCTATGTCTCATTACTACTATGTCCCATTGATTCATCTCTCTGTTCTGATGATAATATATCAAGTTGTAGATCATTATTATTATCATCATCATTAACGTTATCAATAGAAGTAGTCGGAGAATTCTGGAATTTTGAATGTACCGCCGCAGTGACACTATTAATTGGTGTTTCACAAGTAGTATGATTAAAAGATTCATCGTCACAAGGAAGTGATGTTGGTGGATGCGAATGATGAACCGGTGTTGTTATAGTAGTCATTGATTCCATCGAGGAAGTAGCAGTAATAGAAGTGATATTTTTAGCACTATTTCTATCATTAATATCATCTTCACCATAACAAATGCTTGAAGTTAAGTGACCTGAATGGATTGTAAGTGCTGCTGATGATGAAGGAGGTTGCTTGGAAAGATGAAGTCTTCTCGATACTGTTGATTCATTGAAAGAAGTGAGAGCCTCTTTCAATGAAATACTCAAGGGCTATAAGTAAAAATGATAAGTTAGGGAAAATATTACTAAACAATAATGAGGTCTTATAAATACATCTTTACTAGCTACGAAGACAAAATTTTTAAATTAGCCTGATACATATATATATTCCACATTTTGAAAGTAGAAATCTTATCCCAATCTTACAAATTATACAAGACATATCATCTCCACTGTATTTCATAAACATCCAGAGTGAGATGGGGATAGGCCTTCTAAGAAAAAAAACGCTTAAGGTCTCTACACAAGACACTGTACATTCGTCTAGTGTATACAGAGTGTAATTAAGTTTTCATAACATAACTTATTATAAGATAAAATTAAGACATAACCTAGAAACTTGTATTATCAAAATAAAATCGAAATTTCAACAAAGAATGCCATTTTCATAAAATCAATGACTGCTTAAACACTTATCTATTCAATAGATTTGAGATAATTCGACAAAGATCGAATATTATTACTTGAAAATTTATTCAAAATTTGTTCAATAGTTGAAAGAAAGTATTCCATTTTCCTTTCAAATGGATAACATTTTATATCTAGCACATATGAATTTAGTAGGGACTTTGAGATACATTTAACATACAAAAAACACAATAAACAATTACAAGAAACTAAAATGAATTGGTTTCACATTTTAAAGAATTTTACTGTTTAGCATTTTCTACGCATTACCACTTGATAACAAATAATAAAAAATGTCAACAAAGTTTTCAATGGAATTCAAGCTACAAATGTAATCAAACTGACAGAAGTTATAATATATCAAAGGATATGAAGGAATGATATAAGCAGTTAGAAAGTCAAATAAATTGATAAGTAGCTTTTATTTCACAGATCAGAATGATCTCTTTTACCATAATACTAACCGTTTGGCTCGTTTTAGATTAGACTCATTAATTATGTTTACATAGATGAAATTATATTGCACTATAACGCTTTTAATAATAAGAATTATTGCTACGTTTATTATATTTCAGTTTGAATTTTGAACTGCTGAAAAAAAGAAGATGAAACTCTCCCACATTTTGATGATTTTGCGCTTGTTAATGAGTAATTTCCAGATGAATTCTTCCAAAATTCTAGTTGTAAAGTCAAGTCGGGAATGAAGCGATTAACTAACTGATAACATACGAATAAAAAACTAGTTGAAGTTGAAAATATAACCCGTTTGATAAATCAAACACAAGAGTATGAATGTTATACTTCCTGTGAGACTTAAAGCTTCTAAACTTGATCTTACTAACTCATTTACCAGGTACGCATTCACGTAATTAGCTTTAAGCTATGCTCTAATTATGAGAACTAGTGGTAATAACAGGTTACTAGAACCGAAGTAGGTGGAACGGTTTTCAGACCTGCAACAATAGCTGAAAGTCGATCACTATAACCACTGAACTACCAGTCCAAGATTCTTTGCGTAGACATTTTAAAGTCAATTAAAATTATGAAGAAACATCTTTGTCGAATTCTAACGGTTTTGTTGTAAATATCAGTATTTGTGGTAAAAACTAATCTCCAGTAGTTTTACAATGAAATATAACGTATAGATTGGTAGTCAATTACTTCCAGCCAATTGAAATCAGATATCATTAAATTATTGAAGATTTTGTTAAATATAAATAAAATAAAAACCTGAATTTCTTTCGCAGCAGATTTCATAACTTCCGTTCTGGAAAACTCCGATTCTTCTGCTTTCCTTGATGTTTGTAAGTCTAGAAAAAAGGACAGAAAAATGATATCCTTAGGTTGAAATGATCAAAGGTGTTTTAGTTTGAATACATATATATAATGAAGTGAGAAGGAAAGCGTTTTTTTCGGAAAGAAATAATATTCAAAATAAAGCCACCCGTTGGAGAATGATAACTACTCATTACAAATTCAAAAGATGGAACAAATTTAGTATTGGGTTGGAACGTTAATATAAAGAATTATATCTAGTATGAAAATCATTTAAGTATGATTATATTTTACATTCAGCAATAAATATTACAAAAAATACATTTAGACAGTCTTCAGTAGAATGCCTTTTCCGACAGCAGTGTCATATTGGCCATATTAATTAACTATACAGAGTTTCATGAGATATGGTGTTTTATTGTATTCTTATGTAGTCTTCATCAGATTTTTACCACCACAAATCACAAAGTACGATAAATACGCTGAGATCATATGATTAAATTAAAACATTTCAACGCGGAAATATATTCGTAGCGAACAATGAGTTAAGATAAAAAGTAATGAAGGATAACTGATTATGCAGAATCTATGCGAGGATTTGAAATCAACAAAAGAGTCAAGCAGGAAATGCTGAAACCAAATGATGATAGTTGTCTGAAAACAGAACACAACACCTAAGGACTCCAGGCACTGATAATTGTATCAAAAGCTCATTCAAAGAAAATGTGTGCCCCAAATAAGCAAATGAGGATTAAATTACAATATGTACTATGAATCAGAAATCAGTACTTGGTTGTCAAATATTAATGAAAACAAATTAATCACAGAATTAGGTAAGGTACCCAAAATAAGCAAGATCCTATAACGCAGTAAACACAAGGTAAAACGAATGGTGTGGGAAAGAAAAAGTACCTTTGGGATTACGAAAAATGAGTTAAATATTAGAATAATAGTAGAAATGGACAAAATATGGAATCCGTTACGAATACTACGTTACAGCACACAAGTCACAAAATAATTGTCTAAAATACTCAAACTACTGGGTGTTAATAAGTAGTGCGATGTAATACACTAAAAAATCAAATACGCAGGAAAGTTGGTTAGAAAAGGAATAGTGGGTTTAACAAGTTGTTTTATAAACTTTATTACATGTATCGATCAACAATGAATCTAAACAATAAGTTTCACTTCGTATACACTTAATTATCAATAGAATTACTAAGTTAATTCAAAAACTTACTCTGATCTAAATATTCACAATGATCAGTTTTACTTTCTTCAATAGGCATATCGATATTGTTAACCGAATCCAATGGAGCTAATTGTTCAATATCTCCAGCTAATATTGTAATTTGACGTAGCATAGCTTTGGCTTCTTCACGTGTTTCTGGATATTCAAGACATTTATTAGCAGCTAAAGCTGAATCTTCATAATGTCCTTTACGTAAATGATAATTTGCTAAATATTTATAAGCTATAGCTAAATTTATCTGTTCATTTACCTAAGTTAAGAAGCAATAGAGAAATTAAAACAAAATTGTCTAGAATATTTAACTACATTAGTAAATACTGAATGATAATATTGAGATAATTAAAACCTGATGTTGCAAAGAAAATTGTAAGTATAAACTACATTAAGATATACCATTATTCACGTAAGTGGTTTGAATAATTTTTCCTGGTTAGCGTTTTTCTTTAGCGAGTTAGTTTTTTACGGGATGGGGTCGCTAACCCCATACCCAACCCTCCTCATTTATCCGGGCTTGGGGCCGGCAGTAGCTCCAGAGGGGCTTCATTAAATGAAGAGTTCTATAGAGTTATAAATTCAGATGTAATCTATCTTTTTATTATTATTTTGAATAAATAAATCCTTAATCTTGAACAGAAAGAAGTTTGCGAAAAAAAAACTATTTTAAAATATTAATGATTTTTTTTTAGTAAATTTGAACTGAGAACTAAACTATATTTAGACTCCATTATTTATTCTAATCAGTTACCGTAGGGTTGGAAGATGGTATATATCGTAAAATCATTGCAAGTATGCGGTAGATTTATCATTCAGAAATGATAATAACACGACTAAGTGAAAAATGATCGCGAAACTTCACAACGTTTACTTTTTAGTTATTATATTTTAGGTCTTAAACAAAGCTTCAACAGTCTTACTGTTGTGGATGCGGAGGAATAGACCAATAATTATCATGTTAAGTCCAATGGTGTCCTTGGACTTTAAATGGACATTTTCTATTGGTCGATATCTGTTCACTTGTTGAATATTGTACAAAATGTTGTTTTCTATTCTATGGTACGATGTGGTATGCTTGGTTAGTATATAAATAGAGTATGTTTGAAATATAATGATTCATATCTCAGAGGTTGTGACTTGTGTCCTTCACTCAACTGGGCTAGGACGGACAGCGAAGCAGGGCCAATCAGGGCACTAGGTCGTCCTTACGTGTCACTGTCCACTGTAATCGATTGGTATAAACGCTGCTTAACATAACCTGCAGTCACACCCGTTACAACACTTACACAAATTTATGCATCATAGTGTAAGTCGCATATATTCCATGATAATACAGTTGCAAAAAACACTTTTGAATGAATTGAATTTAGAGCAATTAAGTTATTGGTTAGAAGTATATTTCTATAGACTGGTTTAATTGAGTAAATTTTAATTTAACTCTTTTAAATGATTACGATGACGATGAGAGGTTTGTTTATCTTCCTACTTGAGAGATTAATTTAATGACTCGATAAAATATAACTCCGCTCTACTGAATATTATTGAGGTTATAACATTAATTAAAAGGCCAAAATCAGATCTTTGTTTTTAAAATGAGCTAATAGTTTACCATTCAACCACCATACTGTCATTGATGTTGGGAACAAGGTGGAAAAATTTCTTCTCTTTTAACGATGATCACAGTTCAGGGGATTCAAGTTAAAAATTTGTTCCTTTTTTCATAAATACCTAAGAGTTTGTTTATCGTATCAGTCAATAAAATTATCCGCCAATATCAGAAAATTATTATAACAATCATCTGTAGGATTATTTTAACTTGAGTTAGATTTCAGTTTTTCGTTTTTAACAATTTCCGAACATGTCGGTACTTATAATAGTATTTCGTAATTATTAGTTTGTATGTGGCTGATGACAATGCAACCACGTCATATCATAACACAGTGCATATGATATCGAGGTATTTACACTTGAGACTACAATGCAACTTGACTGATAGAATTACGAAGGACTTAACATACATTACATTGATCACTACTTAGTGATCAAGTAATTTTAAATATGATGAACTTCTTATATTCGGTGAACAATGTCGTTTAAGCTTTACTGACATTTCAGAAAAAGAACCGAGTTTATAGTATTCATTTGTTCAAGAATGACACTATGAAACTTCCCTACGACAATAAGAAATACAGGCATTTATTGTGAATGATGCTTGTATTTTGTTCTCAAGTCATCTCATATATATATATATATATTAATCACAACTAAGAGACAACTTACACCGTTACGTTGACATAATTTTATAAATTCTGTATAGGCTGCGGCAGCTTCCGCGTCTTCACCACATCTTTCAAAGCAGATAGCTAATCGCATCAATGCTTCACCTTCTATATCACCAACACAATATGCACGCCAATAACACTTTTTAGCTTCATCAAATCGTTTAAGTCTCCCATAAATCTCTCCTAAAGCTACAATTAAACGTGAATCTGTAGGCATAAGATACTGCGCTTCTCTGCATGACCCATAAAAAAAGACAGGAATGGAGAAAAAGAAAAACATTAGGAACCTATACGAATGTTGTACAGTAATATACACTTAGGTTCGAGTAAGTAATCACAACTGCTACTTGGGTTAAAATAGTTTTGTTGTTAAATAAATTTAATATTATATAGACCAAAAAAGAAGTGATACATACAGAAACTATAGGACTTATAATGCAACCAAGTGGTATTTATTTCAAAAGCTATAAAGCAACAAACATTACGACTGAGTCAGTTATCCTTAATCCCATTGGATATTTGTTGCAAATTGGTTGAAGTTGAAATGGTGTCGTCGGTTAGGCATTTGTCGAGAGATTTGAAGGTTCTGGATTTGACAGGTGGCAAGATCGTAGATGTGTACTATTAAGTCTCATACTAAGATAAACCAACTATCCAGTGCTCCTTGGCCTCAAAATCCAAAACTTAAGTATCAAGTCAATAAATCATAAAAATGAAGTAACATATATTGTATTTCAAATTGGCAAGAGGAAAATTACAACAAAAGAGCGAACTGACTTGAAAGTGAGTTTAAACAAGCATTACAGCTAATAAGTTATATGTGGTCATACATACCTGACAAAAAATCATAATAGCAACAGGAAAGTGCTTCAAAAACGTTTAAACTCACTAAAATTATGCATGATTTTTAAACTTATACAAACTACTGATCGCTAAAACGTGTTAGTAATAACCATTAATTTGTATGAATAACAAACATTTAATATACATACTGAAACTTGCCTATAATAATAAAGTGAAAATGATGGCAAATTTAATACTTCATACATTTGCCCAAGACCATACCATGCACGGTAATCATGTCGATTATAAACAAGTGCTTGTCTATACGCATGTATTGCAGCATTTGTATTTCGAAGTTCCATAAATTCATGACCTTGGTGAAAAAATCAGCAAACAAATGACTTTAAGACCATACAAAAATAAAGTATCTTTGCTGAAAACAAAGTGGAAAGAAACATAGTTCAGTCTAGACGATCATACCCGTCGTCTACATGATGATATCGAGACATTTTAAACGTGTTATCACAAAAGTTCAGATCGAATTATTAACACATACCACTAACACAATATACTAAGATGGATATATGTATGCAGACCAACTGAACAGCAGGTAAGTGGACCGACATAGTCAAATAGATTACACTAATAAACGAAAACAGTTTAAGCTGTTTAATCCGATTATAAGTTTATTTTTATGAAGAAAGTGGTAGAAAACCACAGCAGAACCGTCATTGGCTTCTATTTTGAGCCATATATGATGACATTTTAAGAAACTGAGTTGTACCATCTCTAGGACCCCAACTAGAAATTAACAACGAATCGACAAACCCCAGTTCTATACAGATATCTTTCATACCACGGGACCACATCACAAACTGACCAGACACAGTCGTGGGAGAAACCATCAAGTAGAAAATGAATGCGAAATATTACAAACAAACCCGATAATTGTCATCCATACTAATTTTTTAAGTACTTAATTGAAGTAGTCAACTTTTAACCACAGTTTACAAGGAGTGTATTATTCAAATTAAAGCTTTCTATTGTAACTCATCAATAAAGAAGTTTTTTTTACCAGAACCTATCAGTGATATAATCAGTAATTTATTAGGTTGCCTCAACAATGCTTCATTTTGCCTATCACTAGCTAAAAATGTAATTGGAGCTATGGATTTATATAACTGTTATTTTTGTATTATATAACTTTGTCGTAAAACAGTGTCAGGTGGAGAGACGGTTCATGTTACTAAATAGACACTGAAGATTGTACAAATATGAAACATAGATGTAAATGAACAATGAAGAAAATCTATTCAATATCATCAATTTTAATCAAATAATCATAATAGTTGATATAGGATAGATGGATAGTGGCTAGCAGTGGAATTTAGGACGCACGTTTCGTCCTACTTGGGACTCTTCAGCTGAATGAATCTGCATCCGAGTTTATGTTCACTCCAGGACTGGAAGTCAGTGCCATTTGCTTTAAATGTCATCGAGTTACCCATTTAGATACTTCAAACCATTTTAAACTGAATTTATAATAATAATTATTATTAAAACAACCAACCAACCAATTAATGTCCAGACTAATGAATAAGCTGTTTTTAATTTTAAAGCACGCCGAAAATAAATAACCGCTTTTTCATGTTGTCCACGCAATCCAAAAAAATTTCCGACAACACAACAAGTCTCTGCACGATATCTATCTAAATTAACACAATGATGTGCTAAATAAGCCAGTTCAGTTGAATCTTCACATACAAATAAAACATTTGAATAAGTATCCACGTTGTCTAATCGACAAGGACAAGCATTGAATAACTGTAACAGTAAGAAGAAAAACGAAGTGGATATAATAAAATTGCCATTTAGGATATATATATTGACGGTTGAATTATTACTGGGTAATTTTAGTTTTTATATTATCTTTTTTGAAGAAGCTAGGACTAGGCTATTAAGCGAAACGTTGAAATTATTTGATTTCAATGACTGAAACTTCTACAAAAATTTGATTCTGATTTTTACTGTTTTTTTATGCACTGTGTCCAACTACAGTGAAATTACTTATTTAAATCTTGGTAAAATTTCTTAGAAGTAAGAACAACAAGGTTTGAAGAATGACATGAATGCAATTCATCTTAATTTCTTTAACTAAGGTATGTTGGACTTTTATTTATTAATTATATTAATCATTGTAATTTTTGACTATTTGCAGCTGATGAGAAGCCGTGAAACAGAATGAATTCGTGTTATTCTCTAAACCTAGTTGTTTTGCTGAGTTCAAACTTATTACGGGACCTGGTTGTACGAAACAAAGATAAATAAAGTTATATTGTAATTACTAATTAATTGTAATTCTCTTTTTATTTGATGACATACATTAGATTACCATAAAGAATTTTCAATATAAAATACGCAAAACTGCAACTGAAGTTTTATAAGAAATTAACTTGTGAATATTTGAAAAATATATGCATGAAGTTTTCAATGTGATTTATAGCTAGTAACATTCATTCATAAGTGTTTAAAACCAGTCCTGATCCCGTGAAACCCCTTTTCATTGCCGAATACATCTGATGTAATCAGATCACTCCGTGAGTATTTTTTGACTTTCTCAGTAATTAGACTAATGATATATCGTAGAAATTTTATAAAGACATGTGAGTACACGCGATTAACGGATATGGATTGTTAATTAAAAGAAATAAGAAAACAGTAAAGCTAATGGTAGTCTATCCATGTCTGGCAAATTGATGATCCAGAAGTTAGAGCAGGCCATTTTATATATACATACATATTTGAAGAGATTGACTAGTGACCAACTAGTCAAGGATTAAAACTCACCCCATTTTGATCTTGAAAACTGACTAATAGCACTGATCAGGTTCTACAATTATAAATCCAAATTAATAATCCATAAAATTGGCCAGATTTAATGCAGAGTATATCTTTTGGAAATTGTAATATGTGAATTAAGAATTGTTGTTTGTTATCAAATAAGATTAGTCAGCCCCAATAATAACGATCTGATTTGATAACAAACAACAATTCTTAATTCACACATTACAATTTCCAAAAGATCTACTCTGGATTAAATCTGGCCAATTTTATGGATTATTAATTTGGATTTATAATTGTAGAACCTGATGAGAAATTATTGAAAAGAATATTCTTCATTCATATAATTGTATTTTAATAGCACTGACTCATATAATACAGATATATTTATTAGCTTTATGCATAGATCCGTAGTTCTTAGGTGACAGAAAAGAGTATTCAATTGGTGTTTTCCGAGAAGTTAACAATGATGGTAAGAAAAGAAGTTGAGCACTATGATACCTTTTTACTTTGACACGTGAAAAAGTGAATGGAAGTTTAAAAAATTTTGTGTCAACATTGAGAAGACTGGTGGAGATTCTGATGTAAACTTAATGCCATGTAAAATAGTTAACACAGAGAGGTGACCAAAAACAATAGCTAGACAAATAATCAAATAAGAAAAGAAGAACATAACTTGATTCCTTCAAAATAATTTATCTCTTATGAAGTAAGTAAAGATAGAATTAATATAAAAGTACCAGAGTACATATCGTCAACAAATGACTCTGGATAATACAAAATAAATCAATACTGTAAAAGAGTAATTAACTGACTGAAGAAGAAAACGAAAGAAATGTAAGAAACACAACCTACTAGACCCCTATAGTCAGCAGTGAACAATTAATGATTTGAAGAAATTAAATTGACAAGGACCATCTGCCTGTGCACATTACTTTGTTTTCTTAAACAGGGCTTGACAAAAAACTCTGAAAAAGATGCAATAATATATGCGACAGAAGGCAACTGAAGAGAATCATAACTTAAAGTTGAGTATTAACTAATAACATCATCGTTGAGAAATGTTTTAGTACAATTGCACAGAGAAATTAATTTACAGGCATTCCCGGCAGGCATGTAATTCAGTTCATGTTTAATTAATACTTGATAACTGCCAAGGGTTGTTATTTTTATTTGTTCACTTATGAAACCGAATGGATCAGCTCCTAATGCAACTGAGTTCTTTGTCGAAACGCTCAATCCATGCTAAAGAAATCTGCAATACTATACATTTCCAATTGTAGTCTGGTTTTCTGCCTTCTGATATTATCATCCCTTAAATTTTGATATTTTACGGTGAATATCAATTAAAATTAGAGAAATAACGTTGAGTTGTGTTACTTGTTATTCATCATTTAAACGTAACTGTATACCACAATAATTATTTCTATTCATATCCAGACACAACTAATAAACCATCAACAGTTGATCGATTTAACTTATGAACGAAAGAGATAAATATATCAGTCACTTAGTCATGTTTAACGCAAAACCCGATATATGTGTGTAATAGTTGTCATACTATATTATTATAGTGACATAAAATTGTTTCAAGAAAATTCCGAGAATACTAAAAGTAATAATCGCATCAAAAGTAATAGCAAAGGTCGAATATAGGAAAAAAAGGTATAAAGAAATCTCGAGATTTGTGTTTTAAGAGAAGACAAAGTGTGAATGTGCCAACATCATTACGAACGATTCTGAGCCATGTCACCCAAAATCCCTGACAATTGATAGAATAATTACACAGACCCCAACTAGACGGTCTTCACCTATTTACATGGCTTATTTCAATTGTCAGATTAGTTTATGGAGTGGTGGAAAGTCTTGGTTTTTCCCCTTAACTTTCTTTCAGCCTAGTCCCACACCAGAAAACACCGCATGTCGACATAGAAGGTGGTTGGGCATACGTAAGGCATTTGTCCCAACTACCTCATCATAATACTGCTTCGATTCATTAAAATATTTTAAGTTCAAACTTATAGCATGAAACCGAAACCGAATGGAGTTAAATATCTATTATTCATTCATTCGGTCGTGAGTTAGAACTCTAATTCATGTATTTTGATTGGATGACAGTAATTAACAATAATCTTCGAACAACAATAATAATCACAGTTCAACACTTAAACATGAACTTAGGACTTAGTTACTGAATAACTTATTTACCATGAATTTTGGAGGAGCTTTGAAAATCAGCTAAAATCATGAACCACAAGATTCTAATTCAGTAATGTAAAAGTAACGTAGTCCAAACGATTCCTGATTATTCTGGGTCCAATCTCTGATAGAGTGATCATAGATGAGTACTCCAGAGTCCAAAACTAGAACGAAATATATTTACAATTCTTACTGGCTTTTATGATTATTTGGTTGACGCTAATCTGTGATCTAAATCATCTTTTCGATAGTATAAGTTGTTTTGAATTAGATATCCACAATAATTATTTTGAAGTTGAATTAAAACTTATTGTAAAAGTAGTCTGATGTACATTTACCTGTTTGAATTGTTTCTTAGCTAATTCCATAGCACGTAATTCATTATATGCTAAACCGATTTCGGCCTGTAAATTGTGACTTCTACTAAATCCACTTTCGGAGAGTTTTAATAGGATTTCTAAAGCTCTTTCACCTTCGTGTAGTTTCAAAAACACCTATTAATAGAAAAAATTATAAAATGACTAGTGAACGAATAATCGAAAAGTGATGAGAATTTACTTAGATATCATCACTTCAGACAAAAACGAATAGCATACATTATAGGTATAACACAATTTGTATATTATAAAAGTAATATTTTGGTGGGTTGATGAGTTAGCTCATAGTTATCCACAGCTCGGATGTAACACAGTATTTAGTGTCTGTAGCTTCGATCGGGTTAGTGTCTGTCAATAGAATCATATTCACTTTCTACATTAAAACAGTGTATGAATTCGCTCTACAATTTCTGGAGCTGATTCTCTCTAGAAATGTGACTCATTTACAGATTTGTGGGCTAGTACGTTTTATCATGAAATTAGCCTACAAACGAGCCGTTTCACATACGAAGCATTCTAAAAATAACAATATTAGTCAACTTTGGAAAGTCATCAGGCTCTTTAGAACTGAGGATTGTAGATTTTGAAGCACTATGAGAAGTTATTTCGAACAATAAAACAAAACTCTAAGATTTTTATGTAAAGAACGAAGTATTCCAGCTACATTGTACGGAAGAGTTCTAGTTGTTAGGTAGTAGGAAGTGAGATGACATGAATTTCAAATGAAAACAATCAATGTACTGGATAGGAAAAACAATCAACAGTAATGTATAACATAAAGAACCGAAATAAATATGAAGTGTTTCTGACCTTAGCCTCAAAAAAATATCTCATCCAACATTCATCATCTGTAGGAAGATTTAAACAATTCATTTTCTCTTTATTCTCTATGAGATCAACCAATTCATACCATGCAGGCCAAAGATAAAAATTTAAATTAATCGCTTGAACTAACAATGATGCAGCAGTTTCTTTTATTCCCAATCGAAGACAAATTAAAGAATGAACATACAGTAGAAACGAATCACCAATTTTATTGACCGTTCTTATTTCATCCGATAAATTTATGTTATTTGTATACGGTTCGATTTCACACTTTATTGATAAAAGTTCTTTATTACACTTAGCCATAGATATGCATGATGATTTTGTCTCTTCATCTTGTTTTAAAACAAGTCGTGATTCTACTGAATCATTAGCTCGACGTTTTTCACATGCCATATAACGTGAGTATATATATAGGAAATAATAAACATGACCATATTTATCAATGAAATGTTTTGGATTATCATGAATTGGTTTTTCAAAATTATGAGATAATATTTCAGCACAATGATCGTACTCTTGTGTATCAAAACAACTACGAGCAAGTAGAAATGTGGTCAATTTATCTGGTGGAATACTTTGATAGACATTGCTTGATGAGAAAACACTATCAGGATTAGATATGATGGGAAGATTTAAAGACCATAGTAAATCTGTGAGCCATTTACAGCTGTGACGAAGTCCTCGAAGTTGGCATTCAAAAAATGATTGTAGTATGTTTCCTTGAACGGTGCATAAAGAAATTGGAAATCCAATAACTGCACTTCCATCCATATTATACAATGAGAAATGATTTTATCTAGAAAATAGGCGGCAAGATGATAAACTAATTAAAGTTATGCTATTTGCATGAACAATTCATTACTGATAACTTTAATTACTCACTATTTTGAGGTAATAATGTGATAAATACCAAACTTAAGTTCAGAAAAGATACTTATTTAAGAACATAACGAAACGTAGAATGTTATGCAAGAATGCTAAGGTCCAAGTTGTCAGATATTTTGAAATAACTACAAAATATCCGACAAAATAATAAAAAAATATCAACCGAAATAAGGGTATGAGTAGATCTAACAAAAACTAGCGACATTGTATGGAACGGTACATGTCTACACGTTAAGGATGTCAGTATTTAAATTAATTTAGAAAGTTGGAAATAATAATAACAAGCAGTGAAGAACTAGAGAGGAACTCAAAGAGAAATTAAAAATAGGAGATATGTGTAGTAAAATCGAATGTTTGAAATTAAATCGACACAACGGATTCATAAAATTTTTGTTTCGAATATATAGAGTTTGGGAGGGAAAGTTCCAGAAAATTGAGATAGTGATTAAAAATCATGGAATTAAAACACATTAGACGATTATCTAATGAAGTAACTGAAAATAGATTAATGTTAATAAAGAGAGATATGAATTGAAATTGGTCAGTTATGAATGATGTAATTATAAAATTCAGAAAGAGTTGGAATGACGTAATAAAAATAAATAAAAATAAAAGGGAATGGGGTGAATGTTACCAGGGCAAAGAAAGATTTATTACTGTTTCTTTTTGTATACAAAGATCTGGTTTTAAACGTTTGATTGCTATTGCTTCGGCGAATTTCAAAAGGTTTGAATTTGATTGTTTGTTGATCACCTTTGAATTTCAAATATTTTAGGTTGTAAGCAGCTGATGAGAACACAACGGATTCAACTGAACTAATGAGAACCATTTTGACCTATATCAAAACCCCAACGAAGAACACTAAAGTTTCCTGTACAACTCAACTTAGTCAGTTCAGTTTCAGTTCCCCGCCCAACGAAGTAGAGAAGCCCCATGGCTCTCCAAACAGAGAAAGGCTTTGAAATGACAATGCGACTGGACACTGGAGAACATGTGTATATAGGGATTAAGATATCAGCAGTATGAGTAATTAACCTGACCCACAATAAGTAATGCAAATGTATTCTTATTGGCCTACACTAATTTTTTCCTATCACTTTTGGAAGCTTTTATGCAAACCAAAAGCGTTGATTAGCTACGAATGAGTTCAACAGTGGAGAAACGTGGAAAATATTCCCAAAGTATGCTTCATATGCATATAATCAAATGCAGGTACCAAAAGTACATACGTTCCAGTGGTATACATATTGGCATGGGTAGGTGAGGTTGCTAGTATGCTGTACATGTAGTTATAGAAAGCATAGGCATGTCCACACCTATCACAAATGCATATAGACATAGAAGTTTCCGATTGCAAGTATAAGATACATGCATATGCAAAAATGCATAAGCCAAGGCCCATATACTCCATAGTAGACACATAGACATAGATGAGAATGCCCCAGGTCCCTAAACCCAACAGCATTTTCACGGAATGAATATCGAGTATTGAGATCATTAGGTAAGTCATCATAGGCGATGTGCTCACTTCACGTTCTCACCACAAGCCGGTTTAGTGTTGACCACTGCACATTGGTTACATCACAGCTTATGGCCTACGCTCTGACCCACCCACGCCAAGCCTTATGAGCCCCTCCAGTTTAGTCCGTTCAGGCACCAAAAGGAAAGTTTTCTTCAATGCCTCAGTCACATTCCTAATTTAAATCAACCTCTCTTAACATATAATCAAAGTTCAGACACAGTGGGTGATTAGTCTGATCTCCATCTGACAGCAGACTGGTTGGTTAGTCTGGCCTTCACCGTACTGCTTGAGTTAGCTCATGGGGAAGATTACCCACTATCCAGGGAGCACTACGCGAAAATTCAGGTTTGATGTTAAATTCTGTTAAGATAAACTGGATATTTCGGCCATTCAGGTTAGTAAAGAAGTAGAGAGTTAGTAAGCCTCTATGCTATGTAGGCAAATCCTCCCTGCAAATTACGGTTCAACATACCGTTATCTGATAATTCATCTCTAACACCAGTAGCATTATTATCTAAGTGGTTCCATCACCAGTTGTGGATACTTTAGTGATAATTATAAATAAATATATGACTTAAGATTATCTTTAATAACGGTTTTACAGTTAGAGAGTACCGGATAAATTGTTGAATATTAAACACCCGTCAATGACATAGAAAAGCGACTGTCATGCTTTTTGCATTGGCAGTACTTCCCCGATCACTGGATTCGCTGGGATGATGCCGTTGACAGATGAAATAAATATCGACTGTACTAAACCATGTGACCTAATGTTAGACGGATAGGCTATGAGGTGTTAACTGACATTCAATAAACATAAAATGTATCCAACAATTTCCAGATTACATACCATCCCAGAATACAAAATATGAACACCGTATTCACCAAACGAAATTGCGTAACCTGAATAGTCCAGGTCAGTCAGGGAACCGTTTTATAAGATATCTACCTAGAGCAGTCAAAAACAGAAACTGTTGTTATCCACTAAGTCTTCAGAAACTTAAAAGGAATGGAGCACTTCCATTATCTTTAGACCGAACTACATAGCATTGTAATTGTTTGCATGAGTACGTATCTTCGAGTCAATAATAAAGGTATGTATAATTGTATTTGTCTACTAGAAAGCATAGGCATGTCCACACCTATCACAAATGCATATAGACATCGAAGTTTCCGATTGTAAGTATAAGATACTTGCATATGTAAAAATGCATATATATATATATATATATATATATATATATATATATATATATATATATATATATATATAATATCTGTGTGATACCCAGCGAAGTCTCTGAATTTCCAAGTTGAAGTAGGCGAAGAGTGGATCGAAATAACGACTTAATTGCTAAACGCTAAATACAGCAACTATTCAGCAACTAAACTAAGCAGATTGTTTTGAATAGAATTGTCTCCGAAATTCTTGAGTTTAGAGCTATTTAACTTCTAACGGGAGATCGGGAAAAGTGAAACCACAGAAACTGGACAGAGCTTAGGGACAGTAAGATGTATTAACCTAAGCTCCACCTTCTATCAGGTCCCAGAACTAACATAAAACTAAACGTAAGGCTCATGAGATAACTCGTGTTCATTTTGAACTACGAAGCGAAATATGAGAGACGGTTGAAGAAACATTGTCGATCCAAGTAACTAAACGATCTATTTTATTTACCTAAACACAAATATAGGTACTAAAATAAACACGCATCACGTGATGAGAAAATGAAATCGAGAAGAGATAGACGGAGTGAGTATAATATTAGGAAAATGGATAAAATTAAGTAAACAAGAGTAGTATATAGTTGGAAAATTAGTCCCATTAAGAACAATGCAACTGGGAAGAATCCTTCCAGTAACAGAGAGGTAAGATTTCATAAGCATAAAGCAGAACTGCTCTATTGAATAAGTTTAGGGTGATCAAACTGGTATCTCAATGCGTTTGGCAAATACGCACAATGTTCGCTCGATGCTGACAAAACCGTAAGTGGTTATACCGCTTTAGAAGACAGTAACAGAATAGTTGTATTTATTATTTTTATAGGCGTTTTTTATGTCGGTTAAAGTGCATCTCTATACTTTGAACTTACGATAATTTAGCTTAACAATGTAACACGGACAAACTTTGTAGTACCCAAATTAGTTCATTGATTGAATAAATGTAAAAGGACGTTTAGATTTTTAAATATCATGATATTAATTACAGCTACGAATGATAGCTTTTCTTCACGGTCAAGTATTTACAGCTAAATATGTCTGAATGTATTGAAATTTTTCCCTTAACAATAACACACTATATAAATAGTAAAAATGTGTAGTTTGGCCGGAGGGGAGCCTTGTGGTACAACTTTGAAATATTTTGATTGTCGTGTCTGAGCTCCATAGTTTATTTGTGCTTTCACAGTCGTCCCGAAAATCATCAGAGCTTGCCTCGTTAGATAAGAGCCGATGATGCTTAGGTCAACAACAAAGCCGTCAAAGTAAAGTTACTCAAATAAGATACCAAAATCTCAAGGATCATCAGGTCTAAAACAATCAACACGACGTTAACCCGTTGTTCATATTTGCAAATCGAATCTTCTGACTTGAGATTTTCAGAACTCACTACGCGGTGCCGTAGTTCAGTTCCTACTTTAGACTCATACAATCAAGTATATTGAACTCCATTTTGAACGAAGCAGCCGTTAATGGTGCACTAGCTCTACTGCACAGCTATTCAGTCCTCGTGATAGTTGTGAACAACTGATCAGTTTTATAAATTTGTTTTGAAAAATTATATAAGCAGATCGTATAGCAGTGAAAAAAAAGAGAAAACGAGAACAAACTGCCTCACATGTGCGATGCCAACTGAAATACCCGAAGGTCACAACCTTGAGAAATTAGATAACCCACCTTTAGGAAAGAATCACCAATTGCTGACCGGCTATCAATTTCAGATTCAGATTTGTGCAGTAAGGACAAAAGGCCTAAGGCCTATGTTATTACTTTTCTAGTATGCTTCTGTGAGTGTCCAGTCTTCTCTTTAAAGAGTCAATTGAAGGTGCGGGCACCACTGCTTCGGGCAGCAGGTTTCAAGTATTGATGACTCGGTATGAAAACCTGTATGCCACGGGTATTTTGTTCGTTCTTGGCTTTTCTACTCGCCTGCTTTGTCGTCTGAGATGTCCCGATCTATTGGGAAAAGAAAGAGAGAATAAGGTAAGTGCGAAATCATTTCTCAGTATTCTGTACATCAAAATCAAATCTCCCCTTAATCTGTGATAGGACAGAGTAAAGAGGTCCAGCTTTTCAAGCCGCTCTTTGTATGGTAAACCCTGGAGTTCTGGAACTGCACGGGCAGCTGCCCTCTGTACTTCTTCTAGGATATCCGTGTCACCTTTTAAAGAGGGGCTTGCAGCCTGAACACAGTTATCAAGCTTAGTTCTCACTAGCGATCTGTATACCGAGGTGAACATGGTAGTATCTAACTTAGTGAGTGTCCGTTTTAAAGCCCAGAGGGTTCAAAACCCCTTGGCTACGACCTCCCGGCAATGGATCGTCGTCTTAAGGTCACGACTCACTGTCTCCCCTAGATCCCTATGAGACCGGACCACGGGTGATGGCACTTCCCCTATGTCGTACCTATTAACCTTTGAATCCCCAAAGTTCATGAAGACACACTTTGCTGCGTTGATAGGCATCAGCCACTCTTTAGACCAGTTGATCATATTATTTAAGTCTGCCTGAAGAGCACATGCGTCTGCTTCTCCAATTATTACTCGCCAGATATTTACATCGTCAGCGTACAATAACCTTGGAGGCTGTACTATACTTGTGAGATCATTAACATACATTATAAGAAGTAAAGGACCTGGGACGGAACCTTGAGGTACCCCATTAAGTACTGGTCTCCAGATGGAGCACTTGGAATTTATTCTTACCTTCTGTCTACGACCTACTAGGAAATCCTCAATCCATTTTAAAAGAGGTCCGGCAATACCAAGGTTTGCCAACTTCAATAGCGGTCTACTAGTTGGCAACTTGTCAAAAGCCTTACTGAAGTCTATCTAGAGAACATCCATTGAGTTTCCGTTGTCTAGCGGATTAATCCAGAACTCCCTTGTTATAGAGAGGTTCGTTGTACAGGATAGACGCTTTCTAAAACCATGTTGTTCTATGTTTAGCAGGTTATTGGTTTCCATAAATGCCATTATGGTCCGTTTGACTATCCTTTCCAATATTTTAACTACAACACTGGTGAGACTTACAGGTCTGTAGTTCGATGGAACTTGTCTTGGTCCTGTTTTATGTATGGGAGTGACGATTGTGTCCTTCCAGTCCATAGGTAACACACCTTGATCACCTGACATATTGAATATCACAGTCAGTGGGGCCGCGAGATATTATGCAATATTTCTCAAGATTTTGGGGTGTAGTTCATCTGGTCCCGTTGATTTTTTCATGTTTAAGGTGCTAAGAGCCTTAAGCACATCGTCTTGATTGAAGTCCACGGTGAGCAGGTGGTTTGTTGACTCTTTATTTTGGTTTGGTTCTTTGTCTAGAGGAGGTTTCAGAGTGAAAACTGCCCCAAAATAGTCAGTCATAGCCTCTGCTTTTTCCTGATCTTCCTCTATCATTTCAGATGCACTTCCTTCTTTAATTAGTTGGGAATCCAATGATGCATCCTTGTTCTGTAGTTTATGTATTCTCTTGGGCTGCTTGAGTGCAGATTGTGCCACCTGAATTTCATATTTTCCTTGAGCTTCCCGAATTTTCGTTATACACTTGTTTCTTACCGATCTGTAGCGTTCCATTGTACCTGCTGTGCCAAGGCGGATGGCAACGTCCCAACAGTTCTTCCTTTGTCTTAGTGGACGTCGAATATCCCGGCCTGTCCAGCGACGGCCGTGCTTCTACTTCTTTGGAACTATCCAGCGTATATATGGTTGAGTTACCCGATTGTATAACAGCCTGAAAAGAGATCATGCGTCTTGTACTGATGCTCTTGAGTCAATTTTCTAGTTTTCAGCCGATGCCGAGGAGTTGATTGCCTCCATATCTGCCTTCCATATATTAGGACGGGCCGGCGCAACGTTTTGACAGGCAATCTCAGCCATGAATTTGAATAAGATGACTGCATGGTCACTTCTCCCTAGTGGTGGAAGGAAAGTCATTTGACTAACGTCATCACTGTGTGTAAAGACTAAATCTAAAAGAGAAGAGGAGCTTCTTGAGTCATCTCATTTCGGACTTCTACTGTGTTGGAATAAAGCTAATCCAATCGACGTTTCTAACAGTTTTCAATCGAACGACGTTATCGATGACCCTACACTGACTGACCGTACACGTGCGCTTTACGAACGGAAGCTTAGATTTGCACTTCTCAAATTTTTAATGTGTCCTTATGCAACAAAAGTACCATGTTTGATCCAAAGAATCCGTCCTGAGCTTTACGTTCGATAGATTACTTTTCTTTTTTCAGTTTTACCCAAGTTAATAGTTAACTGTGGTTTCGCCTTAGCTTACTATTTGCTTTTTTCAGTTTTACACGTCAAGGCTAGTTTAAGTTTATCTTAATCATTTGTACCACCCGTTTTTATCCATTTTATCCGTTTTTAGTGTACTGCTTTGTTCTTTTATGTTTGTTGACTTTTGCTATGATCTATAAAACCGTTTACATCACCATAGTCATGAATAAATCATGCAAGCGACCCGGATGCCTCTTTACTTTTTACTTCTGGCATTCACTGTGACAGTTGCAAGGGCTGGTTACACAAGCATGCACAGATCTTACAGCAACAGCTTACAACGGACTCAGTAAGTTGGATCGTGGGTGGGTATGTGGCACATGCAACATGATTGCTGAGGTTTTTTGAGTAACATCACTCTCTTAACAGATTTGCGGAAAAAGATGTCAGCAAACCTGAAAACAGATAATCCTAAAACGGGTGAAGATACCACAAGTATTCGAAGTTCGATACCATCTTAACCAGTAACAACTTCCGTAATCGAAACGTGCCCTTTCAGTGAAATCAGAAGTCAGAAGCGAAGAAGCTCGGAGATATATATTTGGTAGGTTATCAATATATCGAGTAGTAACTAATCTAAACTGCCTAGCGGTTGTAGAAATAGTGAAGCACAGCGTACTCATTCGTGGTCTGGTGCGGTTGCGTGACCGAGTGCCCTCAATTAGATGAGTCCATTAAAGCTAACGTAGTCAGCATCAAATGTCGGAGACTTACAGAGCTATTGATTTTGACGGTTTAAACACCGCCGAGTAAACAAACAAAAACGTGAAGTGAAGACAAGAAGAGGGACTTCGACAACGCTAGTGTCGACGGAGCATTTAATGAAGCCCAGCACCGTCATAACATCGACGGTAATAGACTGCCTCAGCATACTTTGGTCTACCAGCACAGGATCTCTGAATACAATAGTGGTCTCCGAAAACTCTTTAAGCGATTGGACCCCTGTCAACAAAGTTAAAAGGGACCGGTTGTCACATCTAAGAAGTTGAACATCCCAGGTATTGTAATGCGATAAACTGGTTACTTAGCCGTACAATCTACCTCCAAGGCTGTCCAACCGGTCAGCAAAGAGCACAGGAATCTGAAACGCACTTTAACCACCACACAACAAGGTCCTCAACTTGAACTTACCCGAAAGACCGGAAGAACAATCACGGTTTTCTGATGATCCCCTTATAATCATGAACGTTAAAAACAGTCTTGACCTTCCCCTCAGCGTGCAGGGCAAAAGTAACAGGATGCCCTGGAAAGAGTTAAACAATAAGTTCGAACTTCCCGAAATAGAACCCTTCACGGTCACACCACTCACTCAGGGAAAAGAATCTAAGCATCAAAATCACCCAAGGCTACTTCGTGTAACACTCACTAATGCCACCGACGTAGAGGATATCCTACTAGTTAGTCACTTACTGAAATCACATGGGAACGTAAGAATACTGTCTGACATACCATATTCTGAGCGCAGTCTCATAAGGAACATCCCTAATAAATCTTGTGAGAATTTTTTCCGTTGATGAAATATCATTGTGCAAGGTGTACGTGAAAACACGCACCGTGACCACACAAACTCATATTCGGGAATTGAAATTCATCAACCAGTCCTTTGGGCTCAAAAACGTATTGACTCAACAAACAGTGAGACTGGCAAAGAAAGACGGAGATTCTAGACCCCTGCTAATGAAGATAACCTTTTAATTCTCACATATGGCGGCTGCAACTCCGGAAGCATTTCGTGTCAACAGACGTCGGTTGCCAACTGGAATCCATATGCACCCAGATAGGCCACATGACACCAGGATCAAGCATAAAAGCAAGTTGAAGCTGACTGTTCCACTTGTGGACTGTCTAGATCACAAGAAAACTTAAACTGTAGTGGTTATCAACTCGGAAAACCCTGTGTAGGTGGGTTACCTGTCCATCCATACAAGGCTCATACAGATGAACAGGATAAGGAAGCTCACGCGTTTCAAATTGAAAACATAAACTTCTTATACATGAACGCCGCGAGTTTATTGAATGGAATAAATGAGCTGCGTGAACTCAGTAATGCTAATAATACTCATCTGGTGGGAATATCAGAAACATGGATATCTTCTCAGTTTACGGACCAGGAGCTAGTAACATCCGGGATGTCCTTGTTTTACAATGACAGAAAAACAGGAACGAGTGATGGAGTAGCCCTATATTTGCGATTTTTCCTGGAGACACATCAAGTGCACAACCAAGAGTTTATCAATTTTGATGAACAGTACTCTCGGACGTTTCAACTAACCCACACTAACTATATTGGTGAAAGCTTAATCTGCAACTCAACAGGACTTTCAGAAGTAAGCCTGAGAGCTGACTTGGTGTACAGCAAT